TAATTGTTAAACTGAGATATTGTTTGTTTAAATATGTTGATCTAAGTCCTTGACATAGTTTAAGAGATCTAACTCATGCATTTATACATTTAATGTTCCACAAATTATAAAATTTAAACAAATTCAAATAATATTTTTAAAATAGAATAAATACTTTAAAATAAATATTAGAGTAATATTGTTCTTCACAAAATTATAGCAAGAAATAATGTACCCACATAATTATTAACATATTTTAAAAAATAACTACTGATATATTTTAAAACATAAAATAAATACATATAATTAGCGTGGGTACATTTAGCAAAATTAAAAAATATGAGTAAAAATTCAAATAAAACTTTAAAAAATATGGGACAAAAAAAATATATATATATATATATATATATATGGGTACTGTCACATCCTGACCCGGGCCCCCACCACATTTCGGGCTCGACTCCACCGTAGCACGATATTGTCCACTTTGGGTCCCGACCACGCCCTCACGGTTTTGTTTCTGGGAACTCACACGAGAACTTCCCAGTGGGTCACCCAATTATGGGATTGCTTTCTCGCGAATTCGCTCAACTTTGGAGTACCAACGGAACCCGAAGTCAATGAACTCCCAAAAGGCCTTGTGCTAGGTAGAGATATGAATATATATACAAGGCTTACATGATGCTCACCCTTGGACGATGTGGGATCCAACAATCCACCCCCTTAGACCATCTCCAATGGTGGCTTATAACCTAAAACTCCCCTTCCCCCCCCCCCCCCCCCCCCAAACCCACTCCAACCCAAAACCTAAACCAAACCTAAAAGGAAGGCAAATACTAGCCATAATTTAGCCCACAAAATAAAATGGGACCCACGGGTGAGAGTGAAAAGTGGGTTGTGAAGCCCACACCCCAAAACCCAGTCCCCCCAACGCGCCTCACGCGCCCTTTTTTTTCTAGCCGAAGGCCCACCCACGTGGGTTGGTCCCCTCTGTTGTCAGCCACATTGTAGCCCAACGGCTACTTTTGTTCATCCAACAGCCAGTTTAATTGGACAGTTGGTTAATACAACGGTCCACATTCAAATATTTTTTTTAATATTTATATATTTATTGAATCTAACGGCTTAGATCGAATATGATCAAATCTAACGGTAAAAAAAAAAAAAAATCTAACGGTCCAAATTTAAATTCAACGGCTAAAATAATTTTAAAAAAATTATTTAACTTAAAATTCAACCAAAAACTCTATAAATACCTATGTATTTGTTCAAACATCCACACAAAACAAACTTTTCTCCTACAATTCTTCCAATTTTTCTTTCTACCATTTCTTCTCATTTCCAAAATTTTCAAGATGGCAAAAGAGCATGTTAGAGGTCGTAATTGGACATTTGACGAAGATATTGCTTTATGTTTGGCATGGATTTCTATTAGCGAAGATGGTGCCGTTGGCATGAATCAAAATAGAAAGATTTTGTGGGGTAAAATCATTGATAAGTTCCATGAAAACTCCAACGCCGGTCAAAGGGAAGTTGGTGGTGTTTATGATCGGTGGAAGATTATCAACAAAGCGTGCACTTTGTGGAAGGGAAGATTGGAGAGAGCCATGGTTGACATGCCTAGTGGAAGGGGCGCCTCATAAATTGTGAGTTTCTTTGTTGATATTTTATTTGTCATGTTGTTTGGACCTGATTTTACGCCATCGGCCCAAGCAATCGAGGTCGTTGAGTAAACATGGTTCTTAATCGTCGGATAAGAAAGTTAAGATATTTTGCTATTGTTAAGAGATAATATGATGGTTTTTAAGCATAATAATTATCTTTTAATAAATTATCTTAGTTTCTTGTACAAAATAAATTATAGAGATTCTTGGACTCTTCACTTGGCCTAACATGGATCTGCAAGCCGAAGATAATGGTGGATAGGACCTAAACGGGCTAGGATGTTGTCAAATGATGGAAGACTTGCATGTCGTGTGAAAAGCTACAAGTTATATATATATATATGTAGGCTGTATAGTCTGCATGCATCTCCCAGATTATATTGATATATATATATATATATATATAATGGTGGTTATTTTGATGGGATTAAGTTTTGATTGATGTGATAAGGTCTAAGGAGTGACTGTAGGTGCATAAAAGATAAACTGGTCAGAGTTTTATTTATTATGATTATGCATGGGATAAATGAGTGGTCAGCAGCAACAGTTAGAGAGCTGAAGTCACGAACTACAATCTGAGGATATGCTTGGCTTTTGACGTGGATCAACTTCAGGAATTAGAGTTGCAATTAAACTCTACAATGTTATCAGACTTTGCCAAGCAGAAAATCAATACTATAAATACAAGACTCGGTGCAACATTCAAATGACCTCCAATTCAACACACAAAATTGCCCTGTGCAAACCCTTTCAACAACTTTGAGATTTTTTTATTTTCTTTTTCGCCAACACATCTTCAGTTTGGATAAACAACACTGTTGTCGTAGAATCAGCCAACTGCGGAGCATATTCAGTCGGCATAGATAACACTGCGTCGAGGGTGACTGGTTATCTATCCAAGTCTCGGTCGAGAAGAATTTTCGAATCCTTATTGGTCGAGGTCATCTCATTAGCCTTCTCGGCGAAGTGAGGTGTTACCGTTTATTAGGCTCAGCACGTTACACGCCGAGTTAGTTTATGATTGGATACTCTCAAGTGAGATTTAGAGTTTGGCATTCCGACGGCCGAACCATGTTTATTGTTAAGACATATATCCGCTTTGAGTATTTGTGCCCTTACACCTTGGTGTCTATTTGGCGTGAGTTTACTCTGGTGAATACCATCACTGTGACCGAATCCGACGACGACGATTTGTGAACTTTGTAAGAATAGTAGTCTTGTCTTCAGGTTCGAGAACCCAAGAGGCCGAGACGTGTTCATTCCTCGGTCGCAATCGTGAGACGCAGAAGTCATCCTCGCACCCAACGCAACATCAACAAATTTTACTCCTCGGCCGAGCTCGGTCGACGAGTTGGCACGCCCCGCATTCAACCGAATGACGTAGTTAGCTTATAGATTACCCGGCTTGCGCGCCACGTAGGCTTGGTAGTTTTTAGGGTCAACACATGTACATAATAGTATTTTGCAAGTAATTGTTTTTATGTATTTGTTGTATAGGGTGACAAAGCAATGACAATTTACAAGATAAGAACTACACCAAAAAATCAAGCTTTTAAGTTGCATCATGCTTGGAACATCCTCAAGGATTGTCCGAGGTGGGGAACCAATGCGGACCAACAATAGGGAAAATTATTTCATAGTGAAGCCCCACCCCCAAATGATGTCAATGAAGGTGTGAATTTTGCCGACGATGAAGGTGTCGAACAAATAACCCCAATTTCTTTTGCAAGGCCCCCGGGTAGAGATAAGCAAAAGGAAGCAAAGAGAAAAGGGAAGTCCCAAGATCCGATATGTGCACAATTTGCTAGTGAAATGGTAAGAATGAATGAAAACCTCGGCAAGAAAAATCAGCCCAAATGCGTTTGGCCATGAAGGAACAAGGGGATAGAGAGCAAGAAAGGTTCGAAATTAATTTGATGGTGGAGGACCTGGACAAATACACTCTAGAGAGGAAGAAATACTTACGTGGTAAGCAAAATGACATTTTATGAAGGAGTGCCACAAGGAGTATATTTCAAGATGACGATTCATCTCAAAACTATCACCCAAGTCCATCACCAAGTCAAGATGGTGGATATCATTATTAAGTTTATGAGTTTTCGATTGTATTAAGTTTATGTGGTTTATTAATTGTCTTTTTTTTTAAATTTTTTATTTTTAAGTTTATGTGGTTTATCATGATTTTCATGTATTGATTTAGTGATTTTTCAAAATTTATCGGAATTTAAATATTTTTATGTTAAAATGTTCATATAATTAATTTATGATAGTCTACATAATTTTTTTTTTTAAAAGTTAATTAAAAAAATAGCCTTAATCCATTCTTTGATAATCTCGAGCTAAAATTTTAGGCCAAAATGGCTAGATCAGAAAAATTGTTTCTGGGCCAAAACCTAAATTTTATAGGCTAAATATTTTTAGGTTTTAGGTCACCATTGGAGATGGTCTTAGGGCCCGACGTCCTCGTTGGCACATTTCCGACTAAGGATTGACTCTGATACCAAATTGTCACATCCCCGCCCGGGCCCTCACCACATCCCAAGCTCTCTGCCATAGCACGATATTGTTCGTTTTAGGCCCCCACCACATCCCGGGCTCGACTCCACCGTAGTATGATATTGTCCACTTTGGGCCCCCACCATAGCCTCACGGTTTTGTTTCTGGGAACTCACACGATAACTTCCCAATGGGTCACTCATCCTGGGATTGCTCTCGCACGAACTCGCTTAACTTCAAAGTTGCTACCGAACCCGAAGCCAATGAGCTCCTAAAAGGCCTCGTGCTAGGTAGATATGAGAATTTACATATAAGGTTTAGAGGATCCTCACCCCTGGGCGATGTGGGATGTAACAGGTACAAATTAAAACTGAAAAGAAAATTGGTACAAATAAAAAAAAAGGTTGCAAATTAAAAATAGGTACAAACTAATAATAAAAATATTTGATAACAAATTTAGTCATAAAAATAAATATACCAAATGTAAAATTTCTAACACTAAATGAATATATTAGAAATAAAAAATATTTTATTATTGAAATAATTAATGATGTTTATTAAAACCTAAAAATCTTGATCAAAAATTGAAAATGAATAAAATTTTAATCAATGGAGTAACACGAGACACAAAATAAAAGCACATAGATTAAGTGTTTATTTCTTTCCCAATTAATTGCATATCATATTCATGCCTTTCAAGTTCACCCAATTGAATTTGAAATCACAAATTGAGATCTTATTACATATACGTACTTTAATGACTCCGATATCGAGTAGCTTAATTGTAAATGCATAGCATGCATAGTTGCATACAACTTTGATGGAAGTAGAAGATATTGTGGTAATCATATCTTGAGATCTCTACTTGCATGTGGCAACCAAGACTCTTCTGGGAGCAAGAGAAGGCCTTCTTCCATGAAGCAAAGCCAGGTTATCAAGGAAGAGAACATCACCCTTCTCCCACTTGAACTGGATGCTTTCTTCTTCGATTATCTGCTCACATCTGTTCACCAGCTCTGCCGGAATCTCGGTCCCGTCCGCCATCAGGGCCGAGCTGTTCTCCTTCCCATGCATGCCTACCATCGTGTTGAACCACATTCTCCTCCCTTTTCTTCCTTCAAACACCTTCGTCAGCGACCTCGGTCCTAATATCGTCTTGATTCCCCCATCTGATAGCCACTCGACGTCCATGCCTAAAGCATTAGCCCTGCCACAAGTAAACAAACACTGTCCATTTTAGCTGGTGACAATGATGTCGATCGACACATTATATAATATACTAAAATATGAATGTATTACTTTTTTTCAGCTTCTGCACGGTCTGATGCGGCAAAAGTATCCTCCCAACCCCTGCCCCTCATAGAACCTGTGCTGTTCTTACTTGGTGCTGTGAAGGTGTATTTCAAGCCACCTGCATCCAATTCTTCCACAGCTTCCGGGAACTCCTCCAGCATCCTCTCCGTCACTCGGAAGCTCGGAACAAATGGGGTCTGTCCGCCTTCTGGTGGAGGTATCTCACAGAATAGGATGACCTTTTTGGGATATTCCTTAATCTGCAGGTTAATTAATTAGTTAGACATAGTCAATTAGGGTTAATTAATTATATAGAGTCAACTCTTCGAATTTTAGTTTACGATACAAGAGTCATCGGTCCATGTTTGCAGGAAACATACTGAGGTTGGAATGAGTCCATGTTTTGACTTGGCTTAAAAAATTCAAGTAAAAAATGTTTGCTTAAATCAAGATATATGACAGTTAATTAACTTATTAATCTCTCTGTGCTTTGGTGATGGGAAGGGAAGCAACTGACACAGTATATGTTTGCAGAAAACATGATCAATTTCACACTTCCTAGCGATGAATTCGATACCTGTCTCCGATCCTAATGCAACAAACGAGTTCTTTTGTTTTTCGGTTACAAGAAACAACCATTCTAGGCCGAGCCTTGTCACCTAAGAAAACAGAAATGAAACTGCCAGGAGACTCCTCCAATATTTTTGACAACCTATGTCCCTAGAAATATGATGATTTTTCATGGTGATGTATATATATGCACTTACCAAGACCATCTCATGGTGATAGTATATGAACTCTGAGAGAGGTCCTTCATTTGCAGTCCAAACTCGCTTGTGCACATGAGTTCTTGGCGCCGGTCCTACATAGCGAATATCATCCCAACCGAAGGTTTCTATGATGTCGTTGAACTCCTCAGCGTTCTGCACATTGAAACCTCGGAGAAGGATAGCGCTGTTCTTGAGAAGCATCTGATCAAACCAGTCCTTGTTCTTCTGAAGAGCCAAAATAAGTGACTCCACATCGTTGTTTTCGGGTGCTGGAGGCTGCAGCACCAGTGGCATGGTCTCACCATCCACCACCTTTTGGCCTTCGCACTCTCCTACTTTGAAGTCTTTGGTGAAGGGCTCCATAATCTCTCTCTCTCTAACTTGGTATTTATTTATGGGCGTGTTTGTGTTTAGGTTCGAAGGGGTTATATATAGTGGTGGGGATATGATACTCACCGGCTGATTTTGGATGCTTTGTATGTCATTTTGCTTGCTATATGTTGAAATACGACGCAATAATTCTTTTTTTATTGGTTATGTTTGCGGAGGTACCTCGAATTTGGAATTAGGATTCTCCGAATCCTATTTGTAGAGAGATTTTTCGGTGTGATCGGTATACGATGTGGTACATCACGTGTCACTAAACAAATGGTGAGATATGTGTGCTAAAAAGTTAATAACTTCAAAAATAAAATTTCTCACCATTTCTATTAAAACACGTGGTGTACCACTTGTGTTTCCGTCACAACTAAAAATTTCCTATCTTTGTGAGAATTTAAAGAATCCTCCAATCACATCCGTTCATCGTATATCGTGCGACCATAAATTATTGTAAATTTTTTATTTAAAATTAAATATAAACAGTAACTAACAAAAATTAACCGCACAATGTACGTGTGAACACAACATACATGATTGAAGGATCTCCAAAATCCCCACAAAGAGGATCCGGAGAAGATCCTCATTCCAAATTTGAGACTAGAAGTTATAAAAAATGTATGATAATTACTAAGTCAGTCACCACCAAACACAGAATAATATACAGAAAAATACTGTATAGGGCACCTAGCAAGGCATATAGATACTTTATACAAAGATAAGACAAGCTGTATAACCTAAATTGATTGTACAATGGAAAAAAACTTTGGCCATATCACAATTCATCAATTTAACCAGTTAGGGCTGGTTTGGGACTGTTTGCGCCACAAATTTTAATAAAACTCCAAGTACTTCCTAAAGGGCACTTAGAAAGCGCTTCTATGATACAGAAACACTTTTAAGTTTTTTCGCTCAAATTCAGAAGCATTTTTAGCTCTTTAAAAGTGATTTTAGCCCTTTTTAAAAGCAATATCAAACATACTTTTAATCACTATAGTAATATGTATCAGATATAAATTCACATACAAGTAAGAATGACTCCGCACATATAAAATGCCGAATAGTGTCCTTTTCCTTAGCTGGCATGTTACTAGAAATCAAGGTTGTATGCTAGCTAGGGTTAACAAGGGTTATCGGCCATCAAACTCCGAGAAGTCGAGAGTAAAAAGCCATAAAGTAAAACAAAACAAAAAAAAAAAAAACCACTGAGAACAGCCCTAATACAGTACTTGATCTTTCTTATGCAACTAGCAGACTAACAAATCTTTTATTTTGTGTCTCGTGTTACTCTATTTCGTCAAGTTTGTCTATGAAATTGTTAATTTGACATATTTGGACCTGTCGGTTTGCTTGAAACTTGGCATTTTTCTGTTTTATGGCTCTAATTCTTTAAGTGTCAAATTATCAATTATTTTTCAACCAACTTGACGAAATAGAATAACTTGAGACACCAAATGAAAACATAAAAGATAATGCTTGTATTTTTTCACGGCGAAACCTCTTGTTCCATCATTTAATAATAATGCGAAACAAAGAAATTCTGCACGGGAGAATACAAGCATTATCCAAACAGAAATTGCATAAAAAACGAAAAAGCCTTAAAAAGAAGGGAATTTTAACAAAAAACTTTCGGTACTGTTTATTTTAACGAAAAATCATATTTTTACACTAAAAAATTAATCTTGATACTATTTATTTTATTTTTTATTTTACTTTTATCGTTAAAATTCAAAATTTTAATATTCCCTTGAAAAGAACGTGTAGTGGGACAGTCTTTGAGTGAAAGCATCTGTTTTTTCCGCATAATGAAATTCGAGAAAGAAAGCAACTTTTGCGCAAATTGCCAGTATTTTGTGCCAAAGTAGATCTAGACTTCAGCTGTCGGTGCACTGACTCTCGCTCTCAGAGTGTTGGAGCTGCAAGTATCAAATCCATGGCGACAGTCACACCATCACTAGTTCCACTCCTCTTCTTTGCCAGAATCTCAGGGCTTGCAGTTGCAGCTCTGGTCATTTTCTGGGCTTTCTCCTTCAAGTCCAGCTTCCTTCCTCATTCTTCCCCACAAGAAGACCAAGGCCTCATTTATTCAGTATGAATCCTCTCCACTCCTTCTATTCACACCTCTTAATTTACTCTCAAAACCCAGATAATATCTCAATTGATCATTTCTTGAAGCTAAAAAATTTGAAAAGGGTGGTTGTTGTTTTTGCAGGCTCTTCATCCTCTGTTCATGGTCATTGGGTTTATTCTCATTAGTGGAGAAGGTAATGGAAGTTTTTTAGCAACATGTTTAAAAATTGAAGCAAACCCTTCAGTTGGTAAGAGAAGTGATTTCCACACACCCATTTTCTCCATTTTGCATGCGTGTTTATCTCTGGTCTTTCGATTGAACGAATCAAAGAAGAATCAACGGACAGAAATAAACGGGAAATGTGTACGGAAATCATTTCCCATTGATAAAAGGAGACACTTTTATGAGTTGGGTTTTGAATATTTTATTTATTTTTGTTATATTTTCTGCAGCAATTTTGATCCATAGGTGGTTGCCTGGTTCAAGGAGTTTGAAGAAATCAGTGCATTTGTGCCTTCAAGGCGTGGCTTTGGCTTCCGGGATAGTTGGGATTTGGACTAAATTTCAAGGGAAGAAGGGCATGGTGTCTAATTTCTATAGTTTGCATTCTTGGATGGGGTTGATCTGCATCCTCTTGTTTGGAGCTCAGGTAAATTCTTCATACTTCTAAATTTAACTCATATTTGATGCAATTATTTGATTTATGGGAAACTACATTGTTGTTTAACATAGCGGTTTAATCACAAAAGCAATATTTATTTTTAGGATAATTACTGATTTGGAGGTTTAGGAAGCATGTAGGCCATCTTGACTGTACAGTAGCATCAACCCTCAATCATATCAGTGAAATAATTTATCAAATGGGCCAGAGGAAAGCAATTATTAATATAACCTAAAAACGTAGTAAATGCGCTTTACGGAGGTGCTAAAATGTTTTCGGATAGTAAAAGTGCTTTATAGAGATGCTACATCGTGAAGCACTTGAATTTTTAATAAAAATTTTGACGCAGTTATAAACAGAAGTGTCGCTCATCTTAGAAGTAGCCACAAACGTCCCTCGACCTTACTGTTGCCGTGGTTAATAGGCTCAATACTTGTTCATGCTCCTTGTGTAAAAAAAAAAAAAAACAAAGGAGGGCAATACTTATTAGATTTCTGATTTGCAGTGGTTGATGGGGTTCCTGAGCTTCTGGCATCGAGGGGAAGTGCGCTCGGTGAGGCTAAGGGTGTTGCCGTGGCACATCTTCCTTGGACTCTACACGTACGGTCTGGCTGTGGCAACTGCAGAAACGGGGCTTTTGGAGAAGTTGACATTCTTACAAACGAAGAGGAATGTGTCTAAACACTGTACCGAGTCGATGCTTGTGAATAGTTTGGGACTGGGGCTGGCATTGGTCAGCGGCATTGTAATTTTGGCTGCAGTGTCGCCTAAATACCAAGCCCTTCAAAGTAAACTCATTTACTCGTCAGATGGCAAAAAATGCATGTCTTCTTAATCAAATTTTGTTTTGTTTTGTAGTTTTTTTACTGCAATCTGGGTTTGTGTGTTTTACTGTCTCTGTCTGTAAATGTTAATTTGTTGGTGATCACTGTTCTAAAAATCCCCGCCTAGCGCCGCCTAGGCGCTAGGCCCCAGCCCACCGCCCCGATTAATGCCTATGCCCCAGCCCACCGCCTAGACCACCTAGGCACCCGCCTAGCCCGCCTAGGCACCCGCCTAGACCCGCCTAGGTTGCAACTCACTTAGACAGAAATACATAACTTTCATTTTGCATTTTGTTTTTTTCCAATAAATTGTAAGAGACTTGTTGCATACTTGAATGAACAAACATTATATCCTTATTTCACATGTTTTTATTATGTTCCAATACTTCATGATATATATGCATTCTATTTTGTAGTTTATGATGAAATTATATATATTTCAAGTAGAAGCAGACACTTATTTACCTTAAATATGATAGATTTACTTAAATCCGACTAGTCCGCCTAGGCTCCCGCCTAGGCCCTGCCTAGCCGCCTAGGCGCTAGGCCCCAGCCCGCCGCCCGACTAGCGCCTAGCGATTTTTAGAACCTTGTTGGTGATGGTAAATGTTTGATCCAAGTTGGTGTATGAATTAGCCCAGTTGACAAAACATTTTCAGTCTCGGTGTCAAGGATTAGACTGAATTGGATAACTCACTATTGTTCGAAGTTAAGAGAAAGAAGAAATGAAAGAATTGTGGCAGAAGATGGATTACTTATTAGAAAAATTTATCTATTTCAATCTTATGTTATGAAAAAATCATTCACTTCAGTCTTATGCCAAAAAAAAAAAAAAAAAAAAAAAAAAAAGAACCAAGGTTAAGATTGCCGTCATTATGAGGGCTGCTAGGATTAGTCGTGCATCAACATTGAAGCCTAATTATATCAATGGCTAGCAATCAATCATGAGTTCAACGGCGACTAATCTTAATTTTTATTTTTTTGAAAAATTTGAAATAACACCAGGGCTAAAGTCAAACAAACAAAGAAGCCCACAGAAGGCAAGCTACAAAGAACGCAACAAACAAGAAGCAGAGGAGGAGGGTACATAAGCATAAGATGCTGCACCTAGTGCAAAGGCGTCACCCTCTCCATTGCCAGAACAAAAATTAATGAGAAAAACTTCGATAGGCACCGACTTAAATTAGGTAGACCAAATATTTGTGTGAGTACTGCGTTACGGATGATGTGGTTAGATATGTCATAAATTGGGTAGACCATGCAAACAGATGCCATATTTCCAGAAAAAAAAAAAATAAAATAAAAACGAACGAACAAACAGATGCCACTGCCACCTCCTACATCCCACATCCCACTCTCCGACCCCAAACTCTCTCTCCCTCTCTGCAATTACAAAGCTTCATCATTTCTCACCTCCCACCGCAAATTCAAAACCCTAATCCCCAAATCTCGTTCAGCTATCAATAACCATGTGCTCCTCTTGTGCACCTCCTTCTTCCTCCATTTTCCTTCCCACGTACACTTTCTTACTTATACGACGCCGTACTCTCTCCCCGACCTTAATTCTCTTGAAACCCAAATCCGCAAGGCCCAGACTGCGCCTCTCTGCTTCGCTCGCCCAGCGAAACCTCGACATTTCATGGTTCCCATTGGACCAATCCGACGACGGCGACTATGGCGGTTGGGAAATTGTCGATTCTCCGCTTCCCCGCAGAAGTCCAGGTCTGAATTAATCATGAATTTCGCACAACTTCACATAAAAGCTTAAGACTTTTGTGTTAATTTGTTGGGTTGTTGCAGGGTTACCTAAAATTGTGATTGTGGGTATTGGGGCTTCACTGGCGGTAATAGTTGCCGCCATTGCTCACTTTTCGCGGTCGAAAAGAGGTCTGCATTTTCACTTATTGGCTCTTTTGATGGGTTACTAGTGATTAAGTTTCCTTTTTAGTGAATTGCTGTTCCAATTGGGTTAATTTGGTTACTTGATTTTAGGATAACAGCTCTAGTGGTTTTATATGGTCGGGCATTTGCTAAATTGTGTGTTGGGCATACTACATTGTTCTATTTGTGTAGGTTTTAAGTTTCAAATTACGAGTCCATTGCATTCTGTTCACGGGATATTGAGTCGGGGATCTGATACTGAATCTGCTAACCAAGGAGCATTGGATGAGGATGCCGCGGTCACTGAGGCAAGTCCAGGGACTACCTGTTCTTGATAGCGACAATGTTACTTCAGGTACATTAAATTGAACATTTCTTAAGCTATTAAGAAATACCCTATTATTTTATTTTATTTTTATGTCTAAATTGTCTTTATACTGATGAATTCGCAGAGGTTTTCTTACGTATCTTCTTTTTTTAATTCAGCATATGTGGAGAAGCTTGAACGCATTATAATTCCTGTTGCCGTGGATTCTACTCAACAGGAAGCTCTAGCAGTTTTGAAGAAACTGAAGGTTTGCTTCTTTATTGAGTGCTGTCAAATCTGTATTGGGCCTTTTAAGATGCTGATATTTATATGTTTTATCTGCATTTTCGAAGTAAGGACTAAGACATAAGCTTACAGACTAAACCGGTGCTGAGATATGAGTGGCATGCTCACTGATAGCAAGTTTCTGGAACATAATGTTTAAATATAATTTTGAATCCCCAAGGAACTTTATATCTGTTTTTTAATTTAGGATTAATTTACTTCTTACTATCAGTGACGTTTGACAGTCTTGAAATTTTGGACTTGTGACATGTTCTTGTCTGTACATTTAGTGTTCTATATGACTGAAGCTCTGGGTCGAGTTCAGAGCATGAATTTCTCAACTGTAATTAAGGTACACAGATCATTGAAGATGATGTCAAGGCTGATGAGTTGTGTACTAGAAGGGAATATGCAAGATGGCTAGTTCAATTAAACTCATCATTGGAAAGGTACTAATTTCACACCTTGAAATAAATTTTATAATTTTTTAATGAGATCTTCAGGATGGTCTTTCCTTAGATATTTTTAATTTACTTTATAGGAATGCAAAGCACCGGCTTGTCCCATCAATTTCACTTGCTAGATCCATAATTTCTGCATTTGAAGATGTGTGTGTCAAAGACCCAGATTTTGGGTCCATTCAAGGTGAGGATTGATTCTTTTATCTGCAATTTGATTGGTATTTGTTCTATAAAGATTGTATTTTAATCTTTGCTTCTGCATCCTGTCCCTAAGCTCTTGCGGAGGCTGGTGTCATTCCTAGCAAGTTATCACAGAAGAGCTCCAGTTATGACGGTCTAAATAGCTATGGAAATATCAATTTTTCACCTGAGAGGTAGAAAGTATGTTTGATGTTTTTCTTAATATCTTGAGTTTCCTTTTATACTCAAATAGTACACGGTGCTGCAGGTTTATCTCTCGACAAGATCTAATTGATTGGAAAGCCCATTTAGAGTATGACTTTTTGCCAGGAGTGATAGAGAAGGTAAGGAAGATCACAAACATAATCATCAATCCGTGATTTTTTCCCCAAGAGTAAACCATGCCTCCTAAGTCATTGGTTTGAAAATCTGACTTATTTACGGTCCAGATATCAACCACAACAACAGTAGGTTTTATGGATGTGAAAGGGATAAGTTCAGATGCACCAGCAGGACTATATATTGACATGCTGACAGAGGAAAGTAGCATACTCAGAAAAGTTTTTGGTATTCCCAGTTTCCATGTCTACTCTAAAGTAATTTAAAATTTTCAACTGTGCACACATCAACACAAATTTGATGAATAACTTGTGTTTCCACACTTCGAAAACTAACAAGCAGATATGTAGGCTCATATATGAATGCTTATGTTCTTCTATGTATGGTATGAGGTTTATTCTAAGAACGCCGTGGCATATTATCTTGCAGGACAGTGCAAGCGGCTTCAGCCAAACCAACCTTCAACAAAAGCACAAGCAGTAGTGGCGTTGACAAGTGGCAGGATTGCGGAATCAGTTTCTTATGAATTGTTAAGAATAAAAGCTGAAAATTATGCAAGAAAGGCTGAGATGGAAGTTATCAGGTCAGAATTGCTTGACAGGGAAGACATACAAAAGTTTTGGGATGAGAAAATGAATGCAGAGAAAGCACATGGTCTTGAGGTGGAGAATGCTTATCTTGCTGCCCTTCAGGATTTGGAACAGGAGAAGATTTTCCAAGAAAAGAATTTTGCTGAGATGTTAAAGGAGAAGGCAGCTATGGACGCTCAGAGGCATTCACTTCTCAGTCTCAAGGAAGAGGTCAATGAGATGTCAGAAAAGCTTGCGTCTGAGAGGTCTACTTATGTTGCTGAGAGGTGTGATTTGCAGGATACACTCAACGATTTAGAGACGAAGCAGGAAAGTGTGCTTGATACGAAATCTATACTTGAAGCTGAGATAGAAGCTATTCGGATTCTTAGGTATCACTCATCATCCCTGCAATTATTCTTAATAATGCATAGACACATATTACTAGTGTGGGTGTTAAAATGTGACATTTCGAGTTTAGGTTAACTTTATGGCACTTGACCTTTTCTTTCTAAAGCATGTTTTGCATCAATTAGCTATAACTTTTCTGTTACATACAACAGGACATTGTCATGAAGCTTCATCAAAGACCGAAACCTTTAATCATTTAATGAAATGGCATGGATATATTTATATACGATTCCAACAATTTTGCACAATGTTGCAGATCTTGGGTAGAGGATGAAGCAAGAAAAAGCCAAGCTCGTGCCAAGGTGCTCGAGGAGGTAGGACAAAGGTGGAAATGGAATAACCAGGCTCCTTGACGTGATGCAGAGATTTTTAACCCTTGTTTTTTTAAGGTCACGAGTCGAGCGATGCACAAGGAAGTTCTGATTGTTATTCTGTGTAGGCTTGTACAATTTCGAATGCAGAATGCCATTGGCATGAGCAATGTTAAAGATTTGTGCATAAAGTATAGCGTTTTATGTATCGACAAAAAGTTAGCAATCGAAGAGATTGAGGATTGAGTCTTTTCTTTCACGGAATATGTAATGCAAATGTGATATGGAAGTTCTTGAAGTGATGTTTCATGTAACTCTCAGTTTTTTTTCCTTTCTTTTTCTCCATTGGGCAGCTTGAAAGTATTACTTTTTGGGTCATGGAAACACCAATTCAAGTGCTTCAAGCAAAAGTGCTTATGAAAATGTATCTAGTAGAAGCACTTCTAACAAAAGCATTTATCAGTGTTTTTTGGATAAACAAACGCAACCGGACCCGTAATTTCGAAACAGTATCACCATGGAATGTAAAATTACAGTCACATCCAGATGGGGTAAAGCGGTAAATCCACTCACATGCGTCGGTTTCTGAGGACAAAAGTAGAAACGCAAAGCCGGTCAAAAAGTTATTCCCGCTCGTTTGTTCACATTCCTCCTGTTTGCTGTAGTTGCTCTGTCTCTCCGGTGAAAAATCCCACAGCTGAAGCCCAGATGGTATTCTTTTTTACCCACCTCCAAATTTACATGTTGTTTTCCCTTTTCATCTAATTATTTATCAACTGGAAGTGACCACAGTTTGTATTTCGTCTGGTGAAAATGCATATTCTAGTTGTATCTTGAAAATCTTCTAGTATGCACCGAATTTTTTGCCGTTAAATTCTTCGTTAATGATCCAATGACCAATATTTAACGGCAAAAAACCCCGGTATATAAAATACACCGGAGCACAGTAGAATTTTTACGTATGTTGTAGCTTCCTCTTCTCTGAGGCATGTGGAACAACTAGAGCCCCAAAATCCATGTTTGGATAATGGAGTTTGGCTTCTGGTGTAAGTTGTGGAGTCCACATAATTTATAACCCAGAAAACGATTTTTCTTGTAATTTTCCGTGGCTTTTCATTTGCACGTCTGCAATTTTCTTCTCGAATATTGTATCCTCTTTGACAAGTTCACGATCTCAAATTCCTCCGCCGAACAACTCGTTTTCAATTCAATGGATGATTCTTTGTTATGTTGTGGGTCACTTTGCTGGCCACACTTCCCACTACAAATCTCAGTTTCCAAAATCTTATCTACAAGTTCTTGTGGGCATCCTGCCATAATTTTACACTTTGGGAGTGCTTCTACGGAAGCACTTTTGTTTATAAGTGCTTATGCTAAAAGTGCTTTTATTAAAAACATGTTGAAATGTTTATTGAGAATTCAAGTGCTTCGTGCTTTTCTAGAAAGCGCTTCTACGGTAGCAAGAAACGCTTTTAGCCTTTCTAGAGGCAATCCCAAACATGCCTTTAAAAAGAGTAGACTTTTATGCTATGTGAACAGACTTATTGATAAAAATCATGTCTTGCATGCGCAACCCATGATATGCAACACTTGCTTCCGATTACACATAAAACCAACCACAAAGATACAAGCTTTTTGGGAAATGCCAAAAAGGAAAGCAAGTGGGTTTTTAGGTAATCACCCCCAAAAGTTTGGTTTAGTTTGCTTTGTATTTGGCTACCTCTGAGGATTAAAATTTCAGCCAAACAGAAAATTGCTTACTTGAAATAGGAGTCCTTTGATTTGGGAATTCTGGACCCACCACCTTATATCAAATTGATTTCTTACCATTCATCAGTGTTTGATTTCTGCATATACCAAGTTTGTCAAATGGATCAGATGGCAATGATTGGTCATATTTTGTCTTTTGAGCTTCTGATCAATCTAAAGCTTGACTCAATTAGGTGAGCAAAGCCAAACTGTCAGCTGGAAGAACAGTTAACAGAAATAGTGTAACTGCAGTTAAAATTTACATTTTCTAACTTTTCAGCTTTGGTTTTTGGCTTGTTTAACAGCTAATATTCCTTAAAATCGGTACGGAGACATGTTTGGACCCACCAATTTGTGAACTTTCAATCCTTTCGGAGAAGATTGGCCACTAGTTATTGGTGGTTGCTATAGCTCTTAGCACTAAGAGTTGTGCTGGAATGCTTACTTATCAAGAACTTCCGGCCCAAGCAAATCCTTCTTTAATGTTTGGTCTACAAACCTCAGAAGATGATAGCTGATGAGGTCGGGAATGTTTATACTTCATAGTTAGATTTGGCTACTGATATACTTATATATGCGAGTTCCTTGAACGGTCTGGGATGTGTACAGTTGGATATGGATATCGGAAAGGGATTGTTTTCTTAATCTCTCTTCGGAATTATAGATTTTGGGTTACTGTTTCTGCATTTTAGGGGCTTTAATGGTTTGAATTATCAACTATGGGGTGGGTGGAAGCAGGCGGTGGGGTGTTTCCGAATTTGGTTATCTTTATCGATAAGTGAGAGCTTGAGTTCTCCCCATTTGCAATACCTTCATGATAGTCAGGTTAAGCCTCCTGGTTGCTGCTACCATTGCAGCGATTGCAGCAAGGCAGCACAGCATAAAAAACTCTGGTTCATCAGCCTCAACAGGCAGGCATTCAGGTATTCATCTCTATGAGGTCCATAACTGTCACTTGTTTATTAATTTATTGGAACACAAATTATATTGTACAAAAACACGGTTACAGCTCTTTTATCCGTTGATATATTGCAACTGAGCCATATTTAGTAAATATTGTTTCAGAGACGAGTTAAGTTTTACGTTCCCTTATTGCAAATTTTTTAGAATCTTAGTTCTTATAATTCTTCTGGTGATATTGTAACTTAGAAAATGGTAAAGCAAACAGTAACCATCAAAGCGAGAAGGAAGACGAAGAGCAACTTACATATTCTGATGATAGCCTCAGAGAAAAGCATGTAAGTGCATAACAAACTTCTGTCAAAGTCCCATCTCTTTTGCAACATCGTAAAATTGGCAGCAAATATTATGTTCCCTTCCTTTACCTATAGGTTTTAGAATTCTTTTACTTAAAAAAAAAAAAAAAATTGTTTTTAGTAAACTAAGAGTGGTACATATTGCAGAAAGAAGAAGAAGAGGAGGAGGAGGAGGAGGAAGAAGACGAGGAAGAGGTTAAGTTAATTAGCAGTGTATTTAACCGTGCTAGTGATATCGGAGATGAAGATATTTTACCTGAATTTGAAGATCTTTTATCCGGGGAGATTGAAATCCCATTACCTGTTAACAAGACAGATACAAAAGAGAAAGACATATATGAAGCTGAGATGGCAAATAATGCAAGTGAGCTGGAAAGGTTGCGTAATCTGGTAAAGGAATTGGAGGAAAGAGAAGTAAAGCTTGAAGGTGAATTACTTGAGTACTATGGATTGAAGGAACAAGAATCAGACGTTGATGAATTACAACGGCAACTCAAGATTAAGACAATGGAGATTGGCATGCTCAATATTACTATTAACTCTCTGCAGTCTGAGAGGAAGAAGCTTCAAGAAGAGCTTACATGGGGAGCTTCCGCCAAGAAGGAGCTAGAGGCAGCCAGGTACAAAATCAAGGAATTGCAGAGGCAGATTCAGCTCGATGCTAACCAGACAAAAGGCCAGTTACTGTTGCTCAAACAACAAGTTACTAATTTACAGGCTAAAGAGGAAGAAGCCGTCAAGAAAGATGCTGAAATTGAAAAGAAGCTGAAAGCTGTGAATCAATTAGAGGTGGAAGTCGTGGAGCTTAAGAGAAAGAACAAAGAACTTCAAATCGAAAAGAGAGAACTAACTATTAAGTTGAATGCTGCTGAAGCAAGAGTAGCAACCCTCTCCAACATGACGGAGGTTGGTCTTACTGCTTTCTTGCATTACGTGCATGTCTTTCTTTTCTTTACGTTTTTCATATGAGAAGAAGAGAGAAGATTTAAAACATTGGCATGTAAGTTTCTTGTTTTCTTTTTCCAAACATGTAGTTTCTCTTTTGGCTCGCTATTTCATTTAGGACTTAGCCCCTGACTATTCTGAGTTGAAACTTGAGACTAGAACCTAGAGATGCCAAGATTGAATAGTTTCTTTGTTTATCAAAAAGGATTCAGCAAGCTGGTGGAAATTGCCCCGGCGGTTTAGCAAGTATTATGAATGAAACATGTTTTAATCAAGTGGCTTCAGTGCTTGTAAACATGTTCGTGTGATTTCGTACTTACAGTGCTTTCCCTCACATGTTTCAGACTGAAATGGTTGCTAATGTAAGAGAGGAGGTTAATAATTTAAAGCATGCAAATGAGGACCTATCGAAGCAGGTGGAAGGCCTTCAAATGAATAGGTTCAGTGAAGTTGAAGAGCTAGTGTACCTCCGTTGGGTAAATGCATGCTTGAGGTATGAGCTCCGGAACTATCAGACACCCCAAGGAAAGGTATCCGCTCGTGATCTAAACAAGAATCTGAGCCCCAAATCGCAGGAGAAGGCCAAACAACTGATGTTGGAGTATGCAGGATCAGAGCGTGGACAAGGGGATACAGATCTTGAGAGCAACTTCTCTCATCCGTCGTCCCCTGGAAGTGAAGATTTTGACAATGTTTCTATTGATAGTTCCACGAGTCGATATAGTAATCTCAGCAAGAAACCTGGTATAATGCAAAAGCTGAAAAGGTGGGGGAAAAGCAAAGACGATTCTAGTGTTCGTTCATCACCAGCTAGATCTTTGTCTGGAGGCTCTCCAAGCAGACCAAGTATGAGCGTTCGACCAAGGGGTCCCCTGGAATCCTTGATGATTAGGAATGCAAGCGACAGTGTTGCCATCACTACATTTGGGAAGGTGGATCAGGAACTTAATGATTCCCCTCAAACTCCCACTCTTCCGAACATTAGAACACAGATGTCTTCTAGCGACTCACCTAATTCTGTGGCATCATCTTTCCAGTTGATGTCGAAGTCAGTTGAAGGAGTTCTAGATGAGAAATATCCTGCTTACAAAGACCGGCATAGGTTGGCCTTAGAGAGAGAGAAGCAAATTAAGGAAAGGGCAGAGCAAGCAAGGGTAGAGAAGTTTGGCGACAAATCAAGTGTAAGTTTGAGCTACGAGCCTAGAGCCAAGGCTGAAAAGGAGAGATCAGTAGCTTTACCACCAAAACTTGCCCATATCAAGGAAAAGGCAGTTATTTCTGGCAATTCAAGCAACCAAAGTAATGATGGTAACGCCGATGGTAATGCTGTTGATCCTCAAGTAATAACCAAGATGAAACTTGCCCAAATTGAGAAAAGGCCTCCTCGGGTACCTCGCCCGCCTCCTAAGGCATCTGGAGGTGCCCCTGTTGGTACAACTCCCGGTCCCCCAAGTGGAGTACCACCTCCTCCACCTGGTGGCCCACCGCCACCGCCACCACCACCTGGTGGACCACCTCGTCCACCACCTCCACCAGGAAGCCTGCCTAAGGGGGCAAGTGGTGGTGATAAAGTACACCGCGCTCCTGAGCTGGTTGAATTCTATCAGTCATTGATGAAACGTGAAGCAAAGAAGGATACATCGTCTTTAATATCTTCATCATCTAATGTATCCGATGCGAGGAGCAATATGATTGGGGAGATTGAGAACAAATCATCATTCCTTTTAGCTGTGAGTAGAACTTTGTCTTTTTATATCTTTTATCTTCTTATATGAGGCATGAAATTTGGTTCTCAGTACTCAAATGTTTCAAAGATTGAAAATTTTTGCGTTGGATACAGGTGAAAGCTGATGTAGAAGCTCAAGGTGATTTTGTCATGTCGTTGGCAGCAGAAGTTCGAGCAGCTTTCTTCACAAACATAGAAGATCTTGTAGCATTTGTGAACTGGCTAGATGAAGAGCTCTCCTTCTTGGTATGCCATTAATCTTCCACTGAATCATATATTGCACGCAAAGGTTCCTTTCAATTATACAAACAAGGGATTACATTTCACTCATCAGATGGCTAGCAGACTCAACTGCTAAACCGTTAAATCTGAACTCCTTTTGTATTGCATGCTTTTCGATATTGTATACTCACAAACCCTCCTTCCAGACTCACTTAGCCATCTCTTGCTGCCTTTGGTAGGTTGACGAAAGGGCTGTCCTCAAGCACTTTGATTGGCCTGAAGGAAAAGTGGATGCACTAAGAGAAGCAGCTTTTGAGTACCAAGACTTGATGAAATTGGAGAAGCAAGTCTCCACTTTTGTTGATGATCCCAAACTCCCATGTGAAGCTGCTCTGAAGAAGATGTATTCGTTGCTTGAGAAGTATGAACTTTCTTTTCATGCATTGAAGTGCTGGTTAGAAGAAATGCTTTTTCGATATTTTTCTTTATTCTCAAGTGTTCTATTGTTTTTCTTCTAGGGTGGAACAGAGTGTATATGCTCTCTTGCGTACAAGAGACATGGCCATTTCACGGTGCAAGGAGTTTGGAATTCCAGTCGATTGGTTATTGGATTCAGGGGTTGTCGGCAAGGTACGCTTCAAAACTCAAAAAAACTTTATTGTGCTTACTTGCTGTTAATATTTTGTATGATTATGTTACGTATCATCTCGCAAAATTGAGCTCATGTTCGATTTTTACCACTGCAGATCAAGCTCTCATCTGTGCAATTGGCAAGAAAGTATATGAAACGTGTAGCTTCGGAACTTGATGCATTGAGTGGACCTGAGAAGGAACCAAACAGAGAGTTTATACTACTTCAAGGCGTGCGTTTTGCTTTCCGAGTTCATCAGGTATAACTGATTTTTTCTCATTCCTTGTGTAAAAATAGACAGTAGAATTAGAAAATTCCCATTACTCAGAGTTTTCAAATGTGAAGGATTTGAATTCTTAGTGAAAAACATATAGAATTGGAATGCTAACTTGGAACTGTTTCCAGTTTGCTGGAGGCTTTGATGCAGAGAGCATGAAGGCGTTCGAAGAGCTAAGGGGCCGTGTCCATGGACAAACAGAAGAAACTAATCAGGAATCATGATTCATTCGGATTTTTTTCTCTGTTCTCGTCTCTATGTTCTGCTGTAAATTTCATCTTGGCCGCTTAATGTCGTAGAATGTATGTTCATATGTATCACGCGTGTTTTACAATCAATAATCCATTCCAAGCAAAAAGGAAATTAAGTTAGAAAGATCAATCATACGAAGAGTTATTTCTGGAAGTTGCTGTCTGAGCTTTATTTCATATGCTTAGTGAAATACATAGTCAGAACCACCTTTGTTGAAATTGTAATGAAATCAGCTTGCCTACGCTCTCGCAGAGACATCTCAATTGATTATAAAATAAACGAAATCATTAGAATTAGAATACGCTATCGCATTGTGATTACAAGATTTCTGTCCATGAACTTGGCACCTCCAACCTTCCCTTGAATTTTCGAAGGCAGATGAATTACGCGTCTTTGATCCCCTGCTTCCACCAGCAACTCAGATCCTCCCCTATACTGCATTTCACAGATTTTTATATGTTCAATATCACACCAAAGATGCCGAAAATGTGCACATCAAAAGCCATAAAAAAAATTGAGCACAATAGTAAAATGAAAATGGTTATCAGCATACTTGGTATAGCTTGATCTCTGACTTGTCAAAACCTGGCATGAAAAGGGTTACTGATTTTCTGGCTGCATCAAACTTTACTGAGGGCGTTAGGTTACCACCGCCACTTGCTGTCATAGAAAGCAGATTTCGTGCACTTTCACTGAACGTGTCCTGTATGATCGCATTCCAATCTAGAGGGGAACCCAAGGAAATATTTGGAATGCTAGCAAAAGGCAAGGGTGAAAAGTTTTTCTTGAGTCTTTCCTCTGATTCTGTGTTTTTATGTCGTGAAGCAATAGCAAAGGCTCCGGAAACCTGTGCACCAGCTTGGATTGTGCAACCCCAATAGCGTAATGCAGCATGAACGGACATTGGGTTGTCTGGGTCAATCACTAGGAAGCAGCCAAATTTTTCAGGTTCTGAGAAAGCAGATGACCCTCTCTGCGCCACACATAACAATTGCAGGATCTCATTGGATTTACAAACAAACTGTAGTTACAGGAAATAGGCTGATACTTACCTCCAACATTTGTTCCAGACTGTCCCATATTTCTGCACTCATTTTCCCATTGAGATGAGGTGTACTGCTGCTTATACTCATGGCTTCGTCCACCAGTCTCAGAACTGAAGGGCCGGCAAACCTCCCAAGGTCAGTTTTCTCAGCCGTGTTCCGCAGGTATTTCAAGTACAACCTATGCACAGATCATGTGATTCATGTCAATATATGAATGTTTGTTTATGTGCATGTGTAAGCGCACGCGCTTGTGGGGTGTGTTCATTGACCTTGCTTTTCTAGCTGCACCAATCATCCGCAGCATTTCCTCAGAGCTCATACCATCATATATTATTACATCAAAATTATCTTCGTTGCGGTATCTTTGTGCCACATTCCTAAAGAATTGAACAAGCCTCTCAAGCGCTAATGCGGAAAATATAGGGTCCATCCCAGGAAGCACCCCAAGCTCTTCTCCGACAATCTGCTCAATCGAAAAGACAGAAGCATCATCAATCCCCCCACAGATAGAACATTCAGGTGCAACTAAACCCCTCAACTGATGTTACATACCTACCCCTTCCAGAACTCCTTGCGTCATATTAAGGCGCGCATCCGCTTGCTTTAGCTGTTTCAGAGGTCCTAAAAGCATCTACATTATCAAGAAAGATCCAATTTGGGTCTAGGTAACTTGCAGCATATTTCTTGACATACAATAATTATTGGAAGGGAAAATGCGAAAAACCAAAAACGGATTCCGAAAACATACTTTGGTGGTTTCAAATCTAAGAGCAGAAAGGTTGGGGCTGCACAATGTTGGAGAAGTTCCGATTTTTCGGTTTAGAAGGAACTCAGCAGTGGGATCTTGTGTGTGTATCACCAAGCATGTGCTAAACCCTGCCATTGCAAAATGCTGAAAAACCCAACATATAATCATTCAGCTAAATTCATATGCTTGGTGGTCAAATTTCCCAATTGAAAACCATTCAAATCATTAAAAAATTCAATCTTTTCATGATTAAAACTTTGCCCACAACCATAATTCCAACAAAATTTCACATTAACGTTAAATTGGACATCGTTGGTTTCTTTAGTTTTAACTCAGACATACATTACAGAGATACCTGAGCGGCGAAAACGGCGGAGGTGGTCTTTCCGGACCCACCTTTCCCCAAGAAAGTGACCAACTTGGTTGACCTCTGAGAAGAAGCATTATTCTTGTCATCCTCCGAGTCCGAGGAAGACGCCGCCAATGCGAGAAACCGGTGTCTTGTTCTTCTTATTGTATGTCCTGTCGGCGGAGCAGTAGGGTTTCGAAGAAGGGACAAAGAGAAGGAGTTAGGAAGGAGAAGTAAAGCCATTGGAGGAGTCAAAGTAGGTGAGACAGACAGAAGATGGGTGGGAGCCGGGTTATATGAGTGAGCATCGGAGAGAAGGGTGAATTTGTAAGAGACATTTTACTTGCCATCATCAATGGATAATACTTGGGTTCCATGTGCATATCTCCCTATTTTTAACAAGGTCTTGTCTGGCAACCCGTACAAGATATCTGATAGAATTAATAATGGAATGTGATATTCACACACTCTATTTTACTCTTCATATATTTTTTTAATTTTCGGTCGTCAGATTGGATGAATTGAAAAAGATCAGCGGACAAAAATTATCAAGGGGTGCATGAGAAGTAAAATGAGCTGTGTGGATAGCACACCCCTTAATAATACAGATCCGGTCATTCTTCCATATTAAAATTATATTTTTATTCTTTTATATGTCAATTTTAACTGTCTTTAAATGAATTGTCTTGAATTAGCTAATAGATGTAAACACGCATAATAATTTTGCCAAATTGAAAGCACAAAGATTAAATTAGCTATAGAACAAAATGCAAAGACTATTTTGACATTTAAACTTACTGTTTAAAGGAAAAAAAACATGTTTACCATAATAAACGGTTTTATTACATTTCACACCTTCTCGATGTTGTCGATATCATACTGATAGGAAATAATCCTACACAGTTTTTTTATATCGTTAAAGATGAATTTAATTCCCAACCATTAAAAAGTAATACATGGATGTAATATGAACCAACAAGAAAAAGAAAATACAACAAGCATGGACTTCTAAAAAAACCTTTCGATTTGAAAATTTCCAAGGTGGAAAAATCCACCGAAAGGAAAAAGAAGATCTCTGCTTGCCATCACAAGAAATCATCGACTCTGTAGCTCTGTCTTCACCTCCAAAAACGGCATCAACCACGGAGGAGCGTCCTCAATCCAAGGCTCCAAGCTATAAATTTGTCACAACTTAATGCGAATTGTGCCAACCTATATGCCATTGCATTTATTTCTTTTAACTTGCAACGACATGCAAAACTTCTAAATCTTCGTTTTCCAAAAAAAAAAAAATTCTAAATCTTCTACTTAGCTCTGCTTAGTCTCCTCCACCAAGTTCCCATTTATGCCTCTATCGTCTTCAATCTCCAATCCTACACAGTTCAACTAAAGAATCAAGCTATCAAAATGTGCAAATATAAAGTTGAAACACCAATAAAGTTTGAGTTTCCTATATTACATCAAACATATATATGGTACTGTACATAATATAGGATTTAAATTGATCACCTATAGCTAGCAAGGTCGCATATCTCTAGCCGCAGGAGAGAAAAGGTTTGGCAAGGGACTGGCGACCCTAGGCGACCTTGGTGGCAGCTCAGAAAGCTGTTTTCCACGCTCATCATAATATATCACACCTGAAAATTCAGGTGGCTGGCACTTCTCACCCATCAAAATTGACCTCTGCCACACCCCTCCTTCTCCAAACCCATCATCCACGACTTCAACTTCTTCCCCTTTATTTTTGGAGACGAGTGGAATTGCCTTGTTGCTGAGGCTGGCCACAAGTTGCTTAGGTGCCGCCGAGGGTGACTTAGTTTGTTTTCCGGGCGAGGCACGGCGGTGTACATGGTTGGCTTTGGCACATAGAGCTACAAGGGCAGAGACTGAGACGAACAAGGCGATTGCTAGCGGCATTGAGGCGAAGTTGTTGGCTGCAACCTCTGGTATTGGACGAACCATGTTGTGAAATATAATTGATTATATTAAGATCATTGAAATTAAACCTGCACCAGTTTGGGTTTATATAAGAGATGGTATATTAGTTTAATTATTTTGTTTGAATTAGTTGTGGCCGGTGGAAGGTGGGGGGAACTTGTTGAATATAATTTGTATCCTTCCTACTATTCTCTAAATGTGTGTTTTTGTTTTAATTATTAATTAATTTAGTCGTGATTTTTCTTGTGTAGTATAGACATATGTGTTTGAAAGTATTTTTAAAATAACTGAAAACGTTTTTTATAAAAGTGCTATTAGAGTCAATCCTTGATAAAAATATGAGTGAATCCTGAATAGCATTTTAAGTGCGCTTCAAGTGTTTTAGAACCTAAAAATATTTTCACTAAAAATATTTTTAGTTATTCTAAAAACATTTCTAAACAATTATATGTGTCACAATCTTCTATCGAGATCTAGCTGTATTAAATTGTATTATTGTTACTTGTTAGTTTGAAGTTGTAAGTTGACTTAATTTGGATTAGGTTTGCAAAACATACACATATTCGTCTTTCGCAATTAATCACCTTCCCGGAAATGGTTCATGATGGATAATTTTATCAATTTTCTGAATCGTTAACAGAAATACCTCAGATGAAATGTTTATTCTTAATATGGTTAGGGCAACGTTGACAAAATCAAGTTCAGAAAATGTTTATTCCTAATATAATTGGAGAAGTAAATAGAGAAAGTCGGCAGACCCTTTGAAACGTGGGTGGGGGTGAGCCATGAGTGGGAGGCCAATATTGCGTTTGTATGCATGGTCTGGTTGATCGAAACGGGTCATCTCTGCCTATATCACATACTCATTTAATATGTACACTAACAAAAAACACGTTTTAAGGTTGTAGCATGCAAGCAAGGCTAGAGAGAAACCTTAATTTCCTCCACACCTACTGTTGGTCTAGAGATTGTAGATGACATTTAATGGCATTATCAGGGTATGTGTTTACGTATTTCACATTAATCGTTTGTAAAAATTCTAGAGTTCAAGATCTTGACTCATAGACTGAGTCTTATGATTTTACGCAATTTTAAATTTACGTTATATTCATAAATTACTGATGAATGATCGAAAATATGTAGCATTTCTCGTCTCAAATGAATCAGGTAATTGGGACTCAAATCTTACACATTTGAATCTTAATACGAGTACAAGCGCATCGATCGCAAATTAAGTACAACGTACCTACTTACTAGCTAGGTTACTAACAATGAAATAAATAACTAACTATACCTAGCTTGTCTAGCACGCAAGAAGAATATATTTGATCCAAGCACGTATATATGTAGCAATTATTGTTTAATAATAACAAAAAATGGAAAATCGATTTTAAGTGTCTAGCTTAATTTGCCCAAATAATAATAATGGCAAACAGGAATTCTAATGGCATGTTGAGAGATGATTGTGCTTTTACCCCATCATAAAAGTGGATTCTTGAAACAGATTGATGATGTGAAACGTTAGTTGAGATCATCAATTAGTATTTATATGTAGTGCACTAATATTTGCACATATCGGTTTATAATCGATGATGTTTTGGTTAGAAGATGTAATTATGAGACAAATGCTTAGGGCAAAACGGATAGAACAAGATATAGGAAGACTCGGAAAGAAGCTTTAGAAAATATATGGAGTAATTATTATTAACAAAGGACTTGACACAAAACTGAACACAATGACGTTCTAGAATTCATATAACCGTTCCTATTTAGTTGGATACAGTTTAATTGTTAGAGATGCGGATGTTTTAGTTTTACATTCCAAATTTTTATAAATAATGCACTAGGACACTCATACTGTATATGTACATACATACAGATTCGTGATGCCAGCCTATTAGCATTCATGATGACATTAATGTGCCGTGATAAGTCGGTCTATCCAAAGGGAAGATCCCCTTCGGATCTCTCTCATCAAATCCTAGAGATCCGGAGATCTGAATCCTTAAAATTTGATCCAACGACTACAATTATTATAACTTTTAGAGAGACTTTCTGTTCGTAGCCGTTGGATCGAATTTCAAAAGTTCGGACTTCCAGATCCCTAGGATTTGGTGGGAGAGATCCGGAGAGGATCTTTTCCCGTATCCAAATTCTAAAAGAGGTGTGGCAAATAAGTGGCACCAAACCCATCATATGTTGGTCGACCTACAATGCAGAGCTTAATCAATCTGCAATGCAAAGAAAGAAAAAGCTTTTACACTAACCATCCTCATTAATTAATTAATTATATCTTAATTAACGGTTATGGATGGTGTTAGCTATAGCAAATGGAGAATGTTTTTATTGTGTCCGGAACATGTGTAGTATACGATATTATCGTTATATAAGTAGAGGAAAGTTCTATTTTCAAATGTTCTTTAACTTGTATAATAACATGTGATCTACAGATCACGTAATACGGACACACTAAAAATCCATCTAGAAAATGCTAGACAAATATCTTCTCAAAGCGTGCCGTGCCGTCACAGCTACTCATGTTTCCTTGCAATCGATCGATTTACATAAAATTGTAAAAACATTTACAAGATATCATAGTAATCATGCCCATAAACTGGAGTATTAATTCATTCTTCCTTTTCATTATGAAAACAATTATAGTGTCGACAATCGACCATCCCTTCATACATGAATGTACAACCCCCAAAAACTCGATAAATTTATATCAAAACAACTCTTTAAATTTTATAACTACGGGGAATATAAATACGTAGTGTATTATTCTATATGTTATAATAAGAGTCGACAAAATAATTAATATGTCTTATTTTTAAAGTTTATTAATAAATAAAAAACAAATCTACATATCATAATCTAAATAGAAAATAATATCACATGACCATATTTTAAGTACACCAAAAAATTACCCCTCAAGCTCCTACATTATGGTTCTCTGTTTTCTCGACAAGACAAATTGAAATAGTGGGGAAAACATCATATGTAAGTAATAATAAACGCTTTGATAATATTAGTATAAATCTTTCTTTTTCTGTATATTTATCTTTCCTTCACTCCATGTACAGTACTTGATCACCTGAGAAATTAAAGCTGATATGATCAATGGTGCAAAGGGTTTGGACCGGTGGGAACGCGTCGCTTTTCAACACCATAACGTGGATCAATCTCCATCGGATCATCGGCCGAGGGCTCCGATTGTGCTTGCATGTGATGATGATCATCCGGTAAAGTTTTTGATGACCTTTGGCGTTGTTGGTGAGGATGTACAAATGAAGTGAAGTCAAATTTGCTTGCTAACACTTTTCTGCTGATCGTATTAGGGAGACGCTGATGATGATGAGAAAGCGATGATGAATAAGATCTTATGCTTTCTTTGTGAATGTTTGTGGTGGAAATCTTGGAGTAGTTGTGGAAATATTCATGAAACAAGAACAAGAAGAGGAGAGAGAGGCAAAGAATGGTGGAAATAAGAAGGTGGTGAGGAATTCTCAATGGCATGGTGGAATAAGAGGAGGAGGAGGAGATAGAGGAGAAGGGTGCGAAGGGGAAGCATGGATCATGTTAAATGAAGAACCCGATAGAGAGAGAAACTTCCCAATTTTTCTTGACAGCTTAGCTTGATCAAATTTAATCTGCTAAAGATATATATATATATATATTATAGGAAAGCTGAGAGAAAAAAAAAAGTTTATGTATCTCTAAAAATATTATGTGGTGTATATTATTTCACGTGTTATAAGATGAGTGTATCACATGATTGACATGCTCGAGTTGTTAAGTATATTAATATAAGAACGTTTGCACATGTTATAAGTTTAATCACTGTTCTAAGAATCCCCACCTAGCACTGCCTAGGCGCTAAGCGGTTGGCTACTGCCCTGATTAGTCCATAATCATTTGAAAATTAAGAAAGTGCGTCTAGACCCACTTAGGCGTCTGCCTAACCCGCCTAAACCTGCCTAAGCACCCCCTAGATTGCGACTCTCACTTAGACAATAAATAAATAATTTTCATTTTACGTTTTAATTTTTCAATAAAATGTAATAGACTTATTCAATATTTGGATGAACACTCATTATATGTTTGTTCCTCATATTTTCAATATGTTACTTTATAATATATATATATATATATATATCATTTCATTTTGTGATTTATGAATCACAATATAACTATGTGTGATTTTTAAGTATAAATAGACATTTATTTATACAATATATAATACCTTTACTTAAATCCGTCTAGGCACTAGGTCCCAACCTGCCGCCCGACTAGTGTCTAGTGTCTTTTAGAACTTTGAATTTAATAGAGCAATAGCATCATGTAAACAGTGCTTTGGTTACACTATAAAATCTCTAGAGAAAAGATGAGAGAGAGTAATTGAAAACATCTGTGTTCTTGCAAGAAAATTTTCAGTGAGCTGGAAATATGACCTGATACACCAAGTATTATAATACAATTGGTTGAAACTTTTTTTTCAAGTGTTCAACCAATTGTACTATTATAATTGGTATACCGGACAGTGTTCTCGACAAACTAAAAAATCTCTCGGATTCCTGCCTTTCATATGAGTCTTGCTACTACCTTTCTATGCTAATTTAATGTTGAGGAGGAGAAAAGAAAAAGAGAGGACGGTAGACCCTTTTCCCAAATAAAGTTTATATTATCATTGTCAAACCCTCAATCATATGTTTTTTTTACTTTTATTTAAGCTTAAATTTTGTTTCTAGGATATACTTGATGCATAGGCAGAATATGTAGTTAGTGTAAGGATTAATGTTAACCTTTCTCAATTAATGGTTGCAAAGTAAAACTCCGTACTGGTTAATTAGTTGAGTGGATTGCAACTAATTAAAGAGTGAAGGGACATGCAATCTACGTTATCTACAGACAAAGCAATGTGGGATGTGGAAAAAGGCAATATTTTACCATTTTTGATCTTATTTGTTCGTGTACAAGTTTTCAATAACATCGCAATTTATAAATAAATAAATAAAAACTTCTGACTCAATACTTTACGAACAAGGATAGTTTGAGGATGGTAACATTTAATTTGTGA